CCCCAAAACCCCAAAACCCCAAAACCCCAAAACCCCAAAACCCCTTTTATTGTGAATGATATTGAAACTATTAGAATTGGCTAGAAGATGACACATTTGGAGGAACCATCTGCATTGGTTCATAAACTATGACTTGTCTGACTACAGAGTTCAACACTTAAAGCACTTACTTTGCTCTTTCTTTCTTCCTCGATCTATTCAAAGGGATAGATGAGCTATTACTTGTCATTTTTGAGCTCTTCAAAAGTCCATTCGTGAGAGGTGATATTTTGATGCTATGTTGCATTCTCTGTTTGTAGGTGATTCCGAGGGAATCCGTCATTATGCTCGTGTTTTCATGGAGCTTATCAATGAAATTTTGCTCGTAAACACCTAGTTCATCCTTAGCTTCATGGATTAGAGGTAGTTAACCTCGTTATGGTCAGAATCAAGATCATTTATTTCCTTATCGAGTTCAACTATTTGATGCTGTCTTTCTTTAGTTTCTTCAGAGACTCTGGCTAGCTCGGTTTCATAGAAATCGAGCAAGGATTGAGTCTGCAGAGACACCCTTGAAAACTCCTCCAATCTCTGAGTTTGAGCCTTGATTTCTCGTTGATGCGAGATAATCTCCTCATCATAATTTTCTGGGGCAGGGAAAGTGTTGTTTAAGTTTTCAATTTCTGAGTCTGTGTCTTCTTGTTGCTTCACCAGAGAAGCAAACCTTCGCTCCTCAGTTCTAGATTTTACAAGAAGGAACTACTCAAGTTGGATATCTAGCTTGTATTCTGCCTTTTTAAAACTTATTTATACGACTTGTAGATTGAAATCTTGGCAACTAAAGATCATCCAAACTATACCTCAGACATCACAGCTGACTCCAAGCCTGGTTTTATCCTTCATGAATGGGGCTAGCTTATATCATCAGGATTTGCAGCAGGAGTAGCCTCAGAAGTCTCAGTGGTTGAATGCTTTCTTGAGAGGGATGTCTCAAACCCTTCATTTGTCTCCACCCCTATGACATATTAAGCGATGCAGCTCCTAAACATAGTCCCCGTCAATGGCTGCTTGCTTTAAGTCTAACTAGCGAATGTACATAAAGCTTAGTCTTAGCTAATTATTTACCTTCTCTTGCCTTCCTTGAGCGGTCCTTTTAGGTGGAACACCCTATCATCAGGGCTGAATCTGTGCTTACTTTTTCTTAACACTATAAAAATAGACTTAATAAAGTCCTTCGATGCATAATTAGGCAGCCCAAAAATGTCAAGTAAAATGTTGGACTTTTGTCACAGAATTGGATGAGCTTCGAAAATTCTGGGTGAATGTGAAAATAACGAAAAACACGCGCTAAATAAATTTTCCAGGTTATGGATTTTTAAAGATCAGAGTTTTAATATAATAAGTAAAATTTTGATGTGAGTCTAGAATCGACTCTTTACCTTCTTCTAAATACGAAATTACAAGCTTACATGATTGTCCTCATGACTTCATTATCCACATCATCATACTCAGCCGCTTGGATAGCCGTTAGGCTATCCAAGGCTGCTTGTGAAGAGTGTTCTGAAGATTCGATCATTTTCAATAATTTATAATCCCTAAGGGGTTTTGGGGTTTTGGGGTTTTGGGGTTTTGGGG